GACGAGGAAAACTTCGTATAAATGGCCTTCGCGTCTTACATAAGACGCGAACGCATAATACGCATGCGTAAATTTTTGGCGCGCCAGGTTGGATTGCCGTTGCTACGGGCAACATTCACATGAAAACGAGTCAAGAACAGAAATAAGACGCAAACCATTTATACGAGCTGTTCTTGTCTTAGATAAGACATGCTCGTATAAATGGTACAGTTCGCGTCTTAATTAAGACGCGTCTTATGTAAGACGCGTCTTATTTTTCCTCGTATAAATGGCCCTATTGTTACCCATTCTTATGATAGTCAAATATCAGTTCAAGATGGGAAATGATGAAAACATCTTTTTTCTCGTTTCTCGCTGGCCGTCACCAAAGTGTTAACTGATACATATGGGCTTAATTGAAACGTTTTCAAGACTAGAGATGCTGCCACATCACATCTCTTCTTCATTTCAGGAACTAAAAGTTGTTCGTTGTCGGTTTGTCGGTTCATGTCAGTAGAACTCTTGCTTAATTAAGTCAAAATTTGTCAGTGAATTTGTCGGTACTGACAAACCGACAAAATTTGTCAGTTGTCGGTTTGTCGGTTCATGTCAGTAGAACTCCCGCTTAATTAAGTCAAAATTTGTCAGTGAATTTGTCGGTACTGACAAACCGACAAAATTTGTTAGTTTTCGGTTTGTCGGTTCATGTCAGTAGAACTCTTGCTTAATTAAGTCAAAATTTGTCAGTGAATTTGTCGGTACTGACAAACCGACAAAATTTGTCAGTTGTCGGTTTGTCGGTTCATGTCAGTAGAACTCCCGCTTAATTAAGTCAAAATTTGTCAGTGAATTTGTCGGTACTGACAAACCGACAAAATTTGTCAGTTGTCGGTTTGTCGGTTCATGTCAGTAGAACTCCCGCTTAATTAAGTCAAAATTTGTCCCTGAATTTGTCGGTACTGACAAACCGACAAAATTTGTCAGTTGTCGGTTTGTCGGTTCATGTCAGTTGAACCCTTGCTTAATTAAGTCAAAATTTACAAAATTTGTCGGTTGTCGGTTTGTCGGTTCATGTCAGTTGAACTCTTGCTTATTTAAGTCAAAATTTGTCAGTGAATTCGTCGGTACTGACAAACCGACAGAAATTTTGCATTCGTTTGCCGAAATGAGTATTTGCAAAGGTTGATAACAGGCTAAGGGTGACGTCATTGGGTGATCCGCAACACCAAGAAACCACCGGAATAAGAGATAACAAGAGGCCCTCCCGAAGACGGAGTTTTCGTCAGAGTATTTTACAGAGACCTTAATTTTTTACATCTTCGCTTTTTGTTAGTACCATTTACTGTTTTGTTGCAAAATATACTACTACAGTTGCTGAGAATGGTGAAAATTTAATAAGCGCCCAGCCTCGAATAAGCGCCCACCTCTAATAAGCGCCCACTCTCAAGGCCCAAAAATTTAATAAGCGCTCAGGGCGGTTAATCGAATAAATACGGTAGTGTCAGATGCAGGAATTTCACTCCGCACGAGTGCTTCGAGCACGGGCTATTCTTGGTAAACAAGTGATGTCACGGACATGCGTAGTACGTTATTCAGCCCTGTCGTCTGGGCCACAACCAGGGGCCGGTTGCTCGAAGCCTGGTTAGCGCTAACCGTAGGTTAAGAGGTATCAAAATGTATAGGTTTCCATGGTATTTAACGCTGGTTAGCACTAACCATGCTTCGAGCAACCCGGGCCTGATCTGGATATATGATGACGTCACCCACATTTGCAAAATGGCGCCCATTCCGAGAAACACGAGGGAAGGTCACTTCCTGGCTCTTCGCTGCGCCTGGAAGTGTCCTTTCCCCATACTACTTTGAGAGCTGTGACTTTAGACAATGAGAAATCAGGGGTGTGAAGAAAAAATGCCGTCCGATGAACGTTTGTGCGTTCTTGGGAGGTAAAACGACCGAGCACGAGAGTTTTTCATCTCAAAGAAATGCCCGACAAGGAGCAAAACATCGAAAAAAAGAAGGTGAGTGTCTTTTTTTGGACCTTTGGAAAACATTTTTTTGAAATCTACATAAAATTTGCTTGTTGATGGTGGTCTGTATGGTGTAGTGCAAAGCAGTTTCACATAGTGCTGCGCTTTTAAAGATACAAAAGTCAGTTGCGCAGTTAACGTGCTGGTTTTTGTAACGCCATGTTTATTTTACAACAATTTAGAACAATTTAAAAGGGTTTCAAACATGGTGAAAACTCTCAGATCAGTTGCAGAATCATGCGAAGGTCTTGATGACATGGCGATACGAGTGAGATAACTGCATCTTCAAGTTTAAACAATACTTAGAAAATTACATTTGAAACTCTTGTAAGTGACTGCCTTGTCACGAGTTCAGAAAAGTGAAAACAACAAGAATAGGCGCCCCAAGCGAGCCCACATTGTAGGATAGCTTTGAATACAAAAATCTTGACTGAAATGATGATGGTTGATTAATCACTGTCATGAGACAGTATGCAACAGTGCAAACCAGTTTCCCACTTAAATAATTTTCGATTACTGAATTAAAATGTCAATGCTGACAATATAATAAGAGCATTGGTCATCCCTGGATAACCTTTTCATTTCAATGAAATATAAGTACACAGATTGAGGTACATAAAAAATGCCTGTATTTTCGATTGCTCATATAATTTATTATTTATTTGTTACTTTACCTTGCCTTAGGTTATGACATGCAAGGTGGAAAATGTGAAGAATGGCTGAAAATACACTTTAAACAGGACACCAAATGATCGATCTTACAAAACTGTTCCATATTTCATAATTACAGTCAAACCCCATTGATATGGACACTGAAGAGGCCATAGGAAATGTCTATATAACGGAGGTGTCCATATCAAGCAGGTCCTGTTATTAAAGTCAAAAATACACTTTTTTATACTACAGCAACACACCTAACATCTTTAAACATCACTAAGCTCTTATTCTGCAGACTGTGTCCATGAAAACACACGGAAGTCTCGAGAAAATCGATAAAAAATTATGTAACATTTACCAACTCGATTGATGCCAAAATGGTCTATTACTGTTGTGCACAATTCATTCATTTTGGTGTGCTATGATGCTGGGAACATGGACATGACGTCAATTAAGTGAAAGGTTTTTTACCCTACAAAAAAAGAGGTTGACTACAGCACACAATGGACTATAAAGTGTGTGGATTAGCGAGTTGACTTTATATGAGAATCTGTTCATTGAGAAGAAAAAAACGTCCATTATCCACTTTAACAGGTCAGCCTGTATTAAGTGGGTTGAATAAAGAGAAAAATTAAGGGTTTTCCCCAGTGACCAAGGAAACTTCCCATAATAACAGGGAGTCCACATTAAGCTGGTGTCCGTAAAGAGAGGTTTGACTGTATGATACAGGACAAACGTAACCTAATAATAATAGAGGCTTAGTGCCCACTAAGTTTTGCAGTGTGTATGTATTCCACCTACAGTGACAGGATACCGTAAAATTCCGAAAATAAGCCCCGGGGCTTATATTTTTCAAAGGCCCTTTTTGAGGGGCTTATTTTTGGGAGGGGCTTATATTCGGAGGGGCTTACCTACCGAGGGAAATTTGCGTTTCATAATCGATTGGGCTAGCCTTATAGTTGGAAGGAAATTTACCGTTTTGGCTTTGTTTTACTTTCTATTTGAGGGCAATTTTCTAAGTACAAGCCCCCGGGGGGCTTATATTTGGAGGGGCCATTTAACGGACGGGTTTTTGCGTTACCGGTTTGGGGGGCTTATACTTGGAGGGGCTTATATATGGAGGGGCTTATTTTCGGAATTTTACGGTATTACTATAATGGCATAGTTTTTACACTAAATCAACAAAACTCAGAAACCCAGGCATTGTTTGGGATTCAAGACAGCCTTTATTAATCATAACAAAATACAATTCATGGTAAATAACTAAAAGGTAATATTTAGCATAAAAATAAAGTGCTCCAACAAATAAGAAAGACCAAACTAAAAAAGAATTAAAACAAACTCAATCAAATGATAAAAGTGATCACAGTGTCCATGAATAGAACGAAATAAAACCCTACAGGAAGGGAGGGAGGGAAATGATTGCTAGTGCAATAAAAGTGAATGTTGCTACTGCAATGCCAAGTGAGAATGTGACTAAACTAGAATTGTATCCGTCTGTAAGCTATATTACAGTCGTGGTATTCCTATCTACCGTAAAACTACTATATCCTAGGTAGTAGACAGATGGTATTATGAAATCTCTCACGCCAAAAAACTACTGTGATGCTGTACTAGCTCTGTATCCCACTGTGACACCTTCCTTTGAGATTTAGAACCGCACCAGTCGTCTCAACTGATGCACCCCCTTAATAAAAATAATTTAAAGGAACAAATTTTTTTAGAAAATGTAGAGATATAAATATATATAATATTTTCTTGTCTTGTGAAAAACCATTCTATTAAATATTTTGACAAAAACAATAGTAAAGTCTGCACATCTATTTCATTTGTAAAAGCTGTTTTTCAAAATACAATTGTCAAATTATGTTTACGTCCTCTCAGTGACTATTTAACAGCTATTAGAACACGAATACGTCCACTTGAATTATTTTCATCCGCAATGGGGTTTTGCAATTTGCAATAAGCAAAGACAGAAGTTCGTTAATGACTGCTTACGACTCTTCGCATATTTCCAACATGTGTGACGATTCAATATACTGGAAATTTATATACAGCAAGAATAATTAGCGTTAAGATTATCATTATCAATCCTTCTATCGAAATTAGATTTTAGCGCGTATGGTATTGCGCCCGAAGTAGAATAGAACAGACTTCTTCAGGTCGAAGCTGTGCTCGCAGAAATTACTCCAAACAGGACTTCTTAAAACCTTTCCACTTAAAATGTATCCCGGTATTCAAATAGACCTATTCGGCTAACTCAACGTTGTACCCAATTCAAACCCTTTGGGAATAAAACGTTTTGTTTCAGGAATTTCCATACATTTAAATGAGAATGCCACATTATGATGCAAATACAATACACAAAGAATCTTAACCCCGGGAGATTTGAATTGGGTACAACATTGAGTTAGCCGGGTGTTTACAGAAAGCGTTCTCGATCATTAACATCTCGATATTCGTAAATCGAACGGTATGACGCATAAAATAATCTCGATTAATAGGCTCCGTATTGCTGTTACTTTTCTTCAAGGTATATTCCACCCAAAGCACTCGACACCTATTTGCTTCGAAGTTTCCCTGTTCGACATTTCTGTCGAGCTTAGTCCTTTCGCGGTCAAGTCAATGTTTTGTTTGAGCTCTGAGCCAATTTGATTGCAGGAAATTACATATCCAGATCTGGTTGTGGCCCGGACTGGACACTCTGGCTTGTTTCCAACAACAAGGAAAAGTTCCTGTTGAAAGCGACAGGTTTACAAGCTTTGCTATTGAAGGGGCAAGTCCTGTGATGTCTAGGCACAGAAGAGCACAACTGATTTCATCAATTCCAGTTGCTTTTTTGGCTGGAAATTTTGGTAAGTATGCCTTTACCATATCAGCCGTAATTGGAGGTGTAGTGAAATGAGAACCAGGAGGTAGGCTTTCACTAACAAACTGTTTAAGTTTAAGTATAAGGAAACTTGCTTCCTTAATCTAACGTAACAATGTAACTAATATCAAAAGTCAACTCAACTTAGCTTAGCTGTAAACGTACAACAACATTTGTTTCTTCCCTACTTTAGCCAGTTTTGGGAACGAAAGGATTTCGAATGCCCATAGTCGTGTTTCCTATCCTCTCTTTAGTTTCTCCGCTATTTTTGTCGGTCTTGCTCGCGCGTCTTCGAGAATCTAAACTACAACAGAATAAAAGGTAGGCGACCAAACGGCTCCAATCCAGCAGACACGATGTTCACCGACTTTCGTCAATCTACCTATTTTGGTCAATCATCGGTATACCACTTCACATCCTGAGGGAAGGTGTAGCTTGGCCACATCTTCATTTGTCACATCAAGCCCAGAGAGATTTAATCTGTAGAGGTTGTCGGTGACGTTGATTTTGGAGATAACAGACTTTTCCAACTCGGGATCAGTACAATTCTTTTCCTTTGAGTCACTGATTATAACACTCTTAGGGCAGGACACACAAGGCAGCAAGTCAAACAGAAACATCAACTCTTCCTTTCGCCTAAAGAAAAATGCAAAGTCACGAACTAGTGAGAAACAATTCTGAGCGGATAACGATCGGCACTCCGTACGTGTGAGTTCCAAGAGCATCTCATCATAGCGATTTCGTTCTTTACGCAAAATGGTCGCAAAATACAAGTAGAACTGACCTCCTTCATTGATCAGAAAAAAATGTTCTGGGTATAATGAGGATAGCACATACCTCTCGACCAAAGCGTGTGCATTAAGCTCCAGGCCTCTTGGAGTAACAACACGGGCTTTCAAATCAGCCAAGACCGAGAGAGGAAGGTTAGACCCCTGAAAGAATACGTAGCCTGGCGAGCCGCCAGATCTAGGTAAACATTCCGCAGCTAGTTTCTTTCTGTTTGAATCATTAACTGTAACAACGTCATCCACACAGGACAAAAACGAATGAAAAAGATCCTGCCGAAATGAGACAGAACAGCTGAGGAGACATCCCAGACACACATCGCGAAACAATCTTTGGTCTCGTGAAAGATCATATATACATGGTGTCTTGGAAAGAGAACACTTTGAGAGATTTTCTTTCTTCCCTAAGAACTCGAGAAGGGTAAAAACCGCCATCGCGCCTTCTTGAGACCATTCGCACATAAACCTTAAAATATGAGAAAGACGAAAACCTTTGTCAAACGAGTCAATTCCTGTAAATTTCCCGTCAATTTCCTCTAGTGCAGCTTCGTTCATGATATACCGTGCCGCAAGGTACTCTTGGATCGACTTGTGAAGAAAGAAGATCCTCTTAGTTGGATCGGCAACTGCAAGTTTTGAAAACTGGAAGAGACCTGAGCGTATCATTTTGTAGGTAAGACCACCAGATTCTACATTTACTTCGTTTAAGTCAATGTGAGGAGCGCTTTGCAGCAGAAGGGCTTCAAGGGCCATCCTTCCTATTACAGTAAGCTCGTACTTGTACTTAACAAGAACATTTTCGCTTTGTTTCTCATTTTCTGTTTCTTCTTCTTGTGTCTTTTTCTCACGTCCATTGTCCAAATCATTTGTGTCCATATGATGAAGTAACGTTTGCACAAAGCGCTCGTGCAGTCCCAGTTGGGATACTGGCAGTTCTTTACAATCCCTGTTCCTCCAAATCAAGGACAGCATTAGAAGAAGAAGGGGTATCTCGGCTAAGCCTCGGAGATTTCGTTTGTCCAAATAATAGTAGAATTCTTCGACCTCCTCCTGAGCAGTTATAAATCTGCTTGCAAAAGAGACAATTTGCTCTTTTTTAAGAAATCCTCTAATCTCAAACTGAAAAGGAGTTACCTTCATTAGCTCTCCACCTTCCATTTCTCTAGTTGTGATGATTACGCAACAATCTCTCAACTGTTCACCCTTCCATATCTCATGGACTGGTGATTTTTTCCCTCCGCCGTACTCATCAAAGCCATCGAAAACAAGTAACACCTTCTCCTGGTTGTGAAGGACAAATTCGTAGAGGCTTTCAGATGAAGTCGAACCATCTGCCGCAAGCAGCTTAGACGCGTTCAAAATGGCAGGCAAATCTTGGGATATACCGACGTCTCGCAGCTTGATTAGCAGGAAAAGTTCGAATCTTTCGAGGTTTTCTTTACGTCTGTTCGCCCAGTCGACAGCAAGTTTCTGGGAAAAGGTTGACTTGCCAATGCCTGGCCTTCCATAGACAAGTATTCTTTTTGGATTCTCTATACGTTCGTCTCCTTTGAAAATATCTGTGTAGTCGTCAAGATCCCTCTTGATTGTACCACTCGGTGTTCTCACGTCTCTCGTCCAGGATAACGTAGTGTACACCGCATCGATGTCCACGGTGTTGTCGTCGTCCCACGGCGTTATTCTCACTTGGCTCATGGTGCTGTTATAATGCGTGCACAACTGGGCTTTGCATCGCTCAAGATCAAATGGTTCTGTTTTGGGAATTGTAATTATAGGTGTTATCTTTGGGTCTTAACAGTACAACAGACCATCACTTAGAAATAAAACACATTCTCTTTAAGTTTAGCCAAGACCAAATGAAGAACTTTGTTAAATGCTTACATTGTGGTAGATCTTTTGCGAAAGTTTGTAGGCAGATGCCGGGCTGATGCTCCTTATGCTTACCATTTATACTTCAAAAAATAAACACTTTGATGTAACCGATTATTTTGTTTGTTTGTTGTTGTTGTTTTTTTCAATTCTGAGATCCTTGTAAAGGTCTTTTAGTTACCGTCGTTTGTTATTCCACAATATTAAAATCGGTATTTGGCTGCAAATTTCTTTACTTAACTATTCCCAAAAGTGCTAAAAGAACTTAAACACAAAATTCATATAAATCATAACATAAAATTTTAGGAAATGACGAGTTAGACACTGTTAACTTCTAATCCTTTTTCATAAAGGCCTTATTCGCTTGGTTAGCCCGCCCTTGTCAGTATTTTCTGTAAAAACGACGAGAAATTTGATATTTAAGTAACCATTTTAGTTTTAATTCCGATCGCTGTTGCCCTGAAATTTTCAACTTTTTATATGAATTTCCTGTTTGCGTCGGACGTTAGGAAGCTTGAGCTCGGTCTGTGCAAGTCATTCCCTTTACGTCGTGGGGTACCTTTTGTGCGTCATTGTTCTTTGTGACAAAATTACACGTAATAACCGCAACAGCAACAATAAACAAGAACTCTATGACTAACGCAAGTAAACTGAAATTTTGCAAAATCAACACAAAAATTTAAACACCTTAATTAACATCTTCCGTCGCCAGCAGGGAGGGGCCTTCTCATGTGTTTGTGTGTGAACGATTCATCACTACCAGTGCGACGTCACATAATAATGACGGGCGAGAATTATACAATTACGGACACAAAATACCAAGACGATTTACACAAGCAGATAAAAAGCAACAACAGCTCACACACTTATGATCAAATTAGCAATGTATAGCAATATTTGCCTAGCTTTTAATCTTATCCCCGAGGTCTCTTGTTCGAATGACTGTAGTGTCCCTTGCAAATTTGCACAAGTGAGCCGAAGCTCTCGCCCGTTACTATGTGACCTCACACTGGCTGTGATGAATCAGTCACAGACAAACACATGGAAACAATAGAGATGGCCTCTGCCTCCTAATCATGGCAGACAGCAACTTTAATGAGATTTACAACACTCACCATTAGCGATATCAGAACCAGCAGGCAAAGGAGAGTCTATGTTGGGCGATGGTCCACCATCCACAGAGTTTGTTGGATTTTTGGGCTTTTTAGGACGAGCAGGAGTTACAGCTGTGAATGATAATTAGAAGATAAGTAATGTAAAAATTGCAAAACATAATAGATGTGTGGATGGCTCACCATCCACAGAGTTTGCTGGATTAGATATTTAGCAATTGTTGAATGAGGGTGAGTAGGATGTGAAGAATTACAGCTGTATGTAGGAGCCTCGGTGGATTACATCCTCCGAGATCTGCCTCCTTCTTCACTTCATGCGAAAGCCAATTTCAATAATTGTTTTAAAAATTCATGCAAAATATTTATACTTTGTTATAAAGAAGCTTACCTCCTAACAGACGTTCTTTAAAACTTCGGCCTATTTCTCGGCATGTTTTCACGATATTACAGATCTTCTTCCTTGCAGGACGAGCAGGAGTCACAGCTGTGAATGATAATTAGAAGATTAGTAACGTACAAATTGCAAAACATAATAGATGTGTGGATGGCTCACCATCCACAGAGTTTGCTGGATTAGATATTTAGCAATTGTTGAATGAGGGTGAGTAGGATGTGAAGAATTGCAGCTGTATGTAGGTAGAGGAGCCTCGGTGGATTATATCCTCCGAGATCTGCCTCCTTCTTCACTTCATACGAAAGCCAATTTCAATAATTGTTTTAAAAATACATTCAAAATATTTATACTTTGTTATAAAGAAGCTTACCTTCTAACAGACTTTCTTTAAAACTTCGGCCTATTTCTCGGCATGTTTTCACGGTTATCGTGGCTATCGTGGCCGCTGTTGACAGCATTTGCAAGAAGCGACAAAGAAAACTTTCTCATTCACGTTGAGATGACAGAAACAAATAAAGCTCTACTTTTCTTCTCAGAATTGCGTAGAAATTTAAATTTTCGGCGTTTTCTTTTAAACCGTTGATGCTAAAGCTTACAAAACTCGATACAAAAAGATTAAAACTATCATTTGCCATGTTTGAAGATACTGTAAAGATCTAACTTTTGCGCATCCACTGTTTACGGCTTCGTGTTCACGCATGAATTCACCCGTCAATCAAACTATTAATCGCTTTTTAATGGTTTTCTCTCTGATTCTGTTGAGATCACTTCCTGTGAATATACTAAAACAATTATTCACCTCAGGCTCAGTTAATATTGTTGAATAATCCCTTCGACTTCGTCTCGGGGATCATTACACGGGGTGACGTATAACCTAGGTGACGTAGTCAGCCAGCTTTAAAAATTCGGGAGCACATTCCTTTCATCGTCATGGGAGTCAAAAATTGCCTTGTTTTTTTAACTTTCCCGTATCCCGAGCCCGTCCCGAAAAACTTGTGTGATTTTTATTGGCTGCAACTTCGAATCACGTGCAACTCAGATTGGATTGCACAAGCAGAAAAAGATACTGCGTCAGCAAAGAAGGGAAAAGTAAGGCCCGGTTCAGACGCCGTACTTTTCATGAGCCAAACCTAATTCGAATTAAGACCGACCCAAATTATTTGGACCGGCTGAATTGATTCAGACGCCGATCTTAATTCCAGCCGAACTAAATTCAGGAGGAGAAATATGCTCATTTCGGTCAAACTGCTTAGAGATCTTAGTAAAAACGTTATAATAATTTATGCATTAGGTTAGGTAAATGAAAAGTTCGGCGTCTGAATCAAAGCCGTTCCAAAGTCGTTCCAAAGGCGAAATTCCCGGCCAGGCAAGGCGAAAACAACGGCTGAGCCGTTCCAAATTGAAACAGGCGTTCCTAATTGATTCAGACGCCGAACCTTTCGTGTACTTAATTCAATGTATTAGGTTCGGCTCATGAAAAGTACGGCGTCTGAACCGGGTCTAAGATTACAGCGTAGCTCCAGGAGGACGAAGAGTAAAGGCTGTGCACTAGATCTAACGGCGCAAGACTTGGCCTCGGGCGACTGAAAATATTGTCTAGGTGGCCCAGCCGGGCGACTTGCTGGTGTTGGTTTCTTGTTTCTGTTGATTTACAGTCAAACAGCTAAGAATGTCTAGAATTTATTACTTATTTATTTTATTTTTATTTATTTTATTTATTTAGTCACTCACAAAACCTTACACGACATGAATAAAAGGTGTTAATTAAATTATAAAATTAATGTGACAAAGAAGCCTAACGAAGCTTGAAGCTTATATTAATAGGCTTCCTTCAACTAGCTCGTGAACTAAGTTCACGGTTGAGTGCAGAGTGAGCAAGATCAGAAAATTAAACGACAGATCGGCTATCAGTGAGATAATTCTTTAAATTTTTTTTAAAAACAGATATAGAAGGAGAGCTAATTAGTGAAACAGGCAACGAATTCCAGATTTTAGGTCCTCGGTAAAGGATACTGAATTGCTTTATATTTGTTCTACAAAAATGAGGTCTATACTGAGAGGCTAGTCGAGTTTCGTATTGATGGACTTGATTACTACTTAAGAACAAGTCATGAAAGCTATTAGGCAAAAGATTATAGTGATAAGAATACATAAAGGTAGCGACAGAAAATGAATTAATACTAAATATGTCAAGGACTTTAAGCTGGCTAAATAAAGGGGCGGTATTTGCTAGATAGTGAGCTTTTGTTATGAGTCGCACAAGACGCTTTTGCAATAGGTAAATCCCGGGGGGGGCTACTCTAGAATCGTAGCTCGCTTGGTGGCTTCACGGCCTAAAAAGAACGCTCCGCGCGCTACGAAACTCTTGAGGTCGACTTGTAAGTAGCAATAAGTAGCATGTCTATCAAAAAGCTTTAAGAAAATCTTGTTAAATCGGGCAGCAGGCACGGGTTGTTTGTATTGATGTTCAAAGGTCATTTCACGTGAATTCACATGTAACTTAATCCTTGACTATGAACATGACAAGCTGCACAGTTTTCGATAGTAACAGCTTTTCATGATAGCATTGAAAATTTTCCTTCAAATTAGGATGGTTCATTGGTAAGTTTTTCTGAAAAAATTGTTACTTTTGCTCTAACAGGCGTAAAGTACGGTCGGCGACGCAAAACAATAGTTTTGTATTTTGAAAAATCGCTGAATAAACACGGGAGTTGGTCTTTTCTGTTAGTTAAATATTTTTACCTTTTTTACTGCTGTGTCTGCGAGGCTAAAACATAACTAAGATTGTTATTCCAGTAAAATACGATGTATAAAAAAGAAAAGAGACGACTATTATTGTGATTGTTCTAGAATCGGGTATAAAGGGGGTATAAATCTATAAAATCCCGCATTGTCTTTCGTGTCGTGACAAGGCATTACGTATCATGTACTAAAAATAAATACGTGAAAGCTAACCGAATCCACATTTGTCCTGAACATTTCACCGATGATATAGAAAGAAAATACTTCCGTTTATGCGCTTAAACCACGACTTTACAACAAGATGATCTATTCAAAAGAGATGATAGTTTTGGGGCGGCCCGGGGGGGGGCACTTCCTTATAAGAGGCTAATGGGGAGATATGCCGCTGGATGGGGTCGCATTTTCACGACTGGATTGACTATAATGGGGTCGCATTTTCAAAAGAGTTACTAGAATGGGGCCAAACAATTTCGGATTTTTGGGGTAAGAGAGTTGTTCAGGATATTTGTACTGTAGGTGAAAAGTAAAGTGTTCTTCATTCAATTTACTAAAAAATGGGTCAATTCATTTTCTGATGACCTGTTTAAAGGATTGATAAGGTAGATAAATAAATAGAAAGTGACTAAGTTGGGATTGCAAAAATTACATATTTGCCCAAGAGTGACTAATATGGGGTCTACGGGCTCTGAGAGGCCAGCTGCACATACCCAGCAAAAATTACCCCAAGTAACCCCCCGGGGGGCACCGCGGTTTCGTTGAAATCATAACAGTTTTCCTGGAAAGCTCCACGGGATCTCAGTCAATCTTAATAAGCAAATTTTCTTTTCAACCTAAATCAAAATGATTAGTAAAAAGAATAGTGCCCTTATTTTTGACCCCAATTTTCTTTTTTATAAAAAATACCTAAACAGACCAGAATGTTACTTTTCCATTTAAAAAACATGAAATATTCGGCGGCGTTACCCATGTTTCTCATGGCACGAAAACTTACTTTCATATGACAACATGCGGGTTTTTTTTTTTCGCACGCTCAGGAGGTCATTTAGGGATGTGATTTTTCATGAAAAAAATACTGTATTCACAAAATTCTGCTCGACTTGTTAAGAAAATAATCTGTTTAATTTTTAATAATTAACTAACAGCTCATTGATTTATTAATTTGGGCGACCAACTTGGAGGCCCGGGCACCCCAGCTAAATATGCTTGGGGAGCCCGAAGGGCTCTCTGAAATCTTCCCTAGAGCACAGCCTTGCAGCCCTGTAGTTATTGGAAGTATGATACATTCATGTTATTGTTGAATGTGGAAGTGCATTTTTTGAGGACATTAGTAAAGGAATGCAAATTTTAGCTATCCCATACTCCTAACATATATGGTGGTAATATTGATGTAAGTTTTGTTTTGAGTAGCAAAGGAACCCTTGTGTGTAACTCATCTTCTAGTGTTTTAGTTTTTAACAGAACATCTCCGTCTCTCCTGCACACATTTCTGCATACACTACTCAACTTTCCATTGCCATTCCACATAACGGTAATTCTTTCTTACACCAACACATTCCGAGTAAACGCCTTCGGGCGTCTTCTTGTTCAACAATATTAACTTGGCCTTCGGCGAATAATTGTTAAATATCCAGAAATGGATATCTCCCGGACCAGGCGTTGTGCGTCACGACCCACAAAGGTTCATGGGTAAAACTGTTACTGTGCCTCATTACGCGGGATGACGTAGTCAGATTCGGGAGCCTATTCCTTTCGTCGTCTTGGGAGTCAAAAATTGCCTTGTTTTTTTAACTTTCCCGTATCCCGAGCCTGTCCCGAAAAATTGTGTGATTTTTATTGGCTGCAACTGCAAATCACGTGCAAGTCAGATTGGATTGCACAAGCAGAAAAAAAGATACTGCGTCAGCAAAGAAGGGAAAAGTATGATTACAGCGTAGAGGAGGACGAAGACTCAAGGCTGTGCACTAGATCTAACGGCGCAAGACTTGGCCTCGGGCGACTGAAAATATTGTCTAGGTGGCCCAGCCGGGCGACTTGCTGGTGTTGGTTTCTTGTTTCTGTTGTGTTACAGTCAAAAAGCTAAGAATGTCTAGAATTTATTTCTTGCGAAATAGTAGCTCACTCGGCGGCTTCGCCGCCTAAAAAGAACGTTCCGCTCGCTAAGAAACTCTTGAGGTCGACTTGTAAGTAGCAATAAGTAGCATGTCTATCAAAAAGCTTTAAAAAAATGTTGTTAAATCAGGCAGCGGGCACGCGTTGATGTTCAAAGATCGTCTCACGTGAATTCACATGTAACATAATCCTTGACTATGAACGTGATTTCTTAACTTTACTTTTAGATGTTAATTCAGTTATAGATGTTCCCTTGGTGGAAACAACCTCGTACGTCGGTTCATTTTGCACTTTATTTATAAGTGATTTGACAGCTGAAGCTATACTACAATATTCTAACCAATTTAACTCCTGAAAATTTGATTTCATGGCATCATATCCGAGGAGGTTCCCACCCTCATCTAATAGATGAGAAATTTTGCAGACACCATGATCCACCCAGTGTTTACGGAATACAGGCTGATTGTCAATTCTTATCAATGAATTAAGCCAAATAATCTGATCGCCCACATTTGCAATGGAGATGGCTACAGCATCAGAGAAATGCAATTCCGCCCAGATTGACATGACCTCACATACATATTTTTAACAGAACATCTCCGTCTCTCCTGCACACATTTTTTGCATACACTACTCAACTTTCCATTGCCATCCAACATATCGGTAATTCTTTCTTACACCAACACATCCCGCGTAAACGCCTTCGGGCGTCTTCTTGTTTCAATCGTGACACGATCGAGTTCGCATCTCGTAACAAAGATGAATCAAACCCAAGGATCAAAACACCGCCTCCTTTTCTGAAAAATATTACGAAAGAGAGCGATTTGGAGAATTTTCAAGATTTCAAAGTGGCCTTAGATGCTTGCTATTGGTTTCATAAGACAATTTCAATAAGTTCTACTTTATCGCGATTCGGAGACGATCGTGCCATCTAGCCGACCGTTGAGCGGCGACTAATTTCCTGCTTCTCACAAGATTTTATGTACTGTTTGGTTTATATGTATATGTTTATCTCAGAGTGAAAGAGATCTGTAGTACATACCTGTAGTGTTTATATACTTGATGGACTTTATTACCGGCCAAGGAGGGGAAGCGCGAGCAAACAGCAAGGTGAGAAATCGTCTCTCATAACAATTTTATTTTCATCGACAACTTCATACAAGAGCCATAATGGGATAGAGAGGGAATCTTAGGGCGTTGGGAATCTTAAAGCGTTTAGATGAGCCTGATGAGTAGCCTCCTACGCAGATGTTCTCAGGGGTTCGTCACGCGTTCCTGCCCCACGAACGTCTGCTGCCTTGAGCGGAAAAAAACGTAAACCAGTCATAGCAGACTTCCAGATCTGGGAAGTGCACTTTGGACCTTGAGAAATTTCGCGCTTGACTTAATATCTCCAAAAAAGATCAGAAAGGTCTCATGAAAGGTGAAGAACTCACAAGCGTTCGTACTAATGGCTACCCTCAGAATCTCGTTGAAAAAAATTACCTCGGAGGTTAAATTTGCTGAACGGAAGTCGGCTTTACTACAAAACAATAACGTGTGAAAAAAAATTCTGCCTTTTGTTCAGTCTTACAAGGTAACCCCACCGTTGTGTTACGA